TTTCCTTGGGTAGAAGAGTAGATGAACATTTAGAGTAACAGATAAAATTCGTTCTTCTTTATTTCATTCTTTTGTTGTATGAGTTAAATTGTGCAACTGATAATAGAAAACGAAAATTTATTCCATTTTGTCCGTATCAGCTTTTTCTCTTTCTGCCATTTGAGTGAGAAAAAGCAACAACAAATGTCTACACATCGACCGAAAAGGACAAATTTCTCTGTGCGTGGAATGTAGTCCACGTCCATGTTCCACGCGTTCAGTTATTTTTGATGGCTTCCCTTAAGATACTTTACACATACGTCTGTTAGAGCAGCTCCGAACTGGAGGAAATGAGTTACCACGATAGCCTGGAAACCGCTACATACATGAACATTTCATCTAGAATCAGGAAAGTTCTGTAACAAATTTGTGTAACCCAAACTTTTGACGGTGGTTCCAGATAGTACACTGAGAGTACTATCTACTGCAAGTAAATTTCAACGTAGACTTCAACGTAAGTTTATTACAACGAGATCGATCGATTGCAAAAGTGCTTCATGAAACTCCATTTCGCTCTTGTTGTAATGTGTAGGGTAAGAGGTATACATAATAGTTGTATGTCATTATATGGTAGACATTGAGGAACATTGTCTGATTTCAAAATTTTCTTCCATATGTTTTAAATTTAAATTCTTTGAAAACTTAAAACTCAAAAAAACTTAAACTTAATTTTTTTGAAAATTTTCCCATTAACTCTGACAAACAGCAACATTACCTCCCGTCCCCTCCCCCGCAGCCCGCCATTGCACACAATTTTTGTAGCAAGACTTTTGTTCCAGCATGCTTTGTTATCACAGGATTTTGGCAAGAGTTTCACACTGCAGTTAAGGAGTGGCTCCCCACACTTTATCAAACTATGTCAGTTTGAAAAGGACGATTGAATTTGAATTTAACAGATTTTAACATGGGTGGCTAGATAGCCGAAAGTGTTTTCTACAATTCTGTGCAAGACCGACCTTTCTATCTGTTGTGGTTCTCGAATGGTAGACATTTCCACAACAGAAAAGGTAACGAATTACGGGTGACTCCAGAAAACGCCTGCCAATCGAGAACCGTAGCAGATAGAGAGGCCTACCTGGCGCAGAATTGTAGAGAACACTTTGGGCTATCCAGTCACTATGTTGCAATTAATAATCCATTGGAGGTTCAGAATCTAGCAACCTCATCGCTTTTCATCCGTCAGGTACACCGCCTGAAAAACTAAGACTTTTAGTACCAAACATATGTGAAGATAGAGTAAAGCCTTCTCTGCAAAACGCTGAAAATCCGAACTCTCTGTCTCTTTTCGTTCTCGAGTCACTCAAAAAACATTCATGACCGCTCTATTCAGAAATCCATAGTAGAAACTCTGTTTGCCTAAAACCGAGTACAGATAACTGCTTATCGGTCACATTTTGAAAAGACAAATACAGGGATTTGTAGTGCTTGGAAAACTCTCTCGAATGACGTATTACGTTACCGTTTCCAATAAATCGTTACTTTGTCAATAAAAGTGTAACGCACCAGAGTATTAATTAGTATTTATTAGCAAAATTAATTATAAATTATTGCCTTAAGAAACTTTTTTCATCAGACCATAACAGCAGACCGTCGGCTATCAAACCATGCAAGAACGACAAGTCTACGATTATTTTTAACCGAGCTACAAGCTTTGCAAAATGGGAACTAGCTACCCAGATTCTAATTAAAATTTAAACTTAATTTTAATTAATAACTCTGTGAATACTTACCAGTTCATCGAAAGAATTTAAGAATATATGTAGTCAGGTGTCCCCTTTAAACTGGCATAGTTCGAGGACACATATAGGGGGAGCGGAACTCCCCCTTAAATGCCAATCATATAAAACACTGCCAACAGATGATGGACTAGTTTTTCTTTAAATGAACGACAAACAGATGATCAGTGATAATATTAAAGAAAACAATCGAATACTATGTGTAATCTTCTTCGTCAATTAGTGTATTCACAAAGTCTAACGCAATTTTACCCAAACGTGTTTGACACAAAACGATGTGAAATATTCTTGTACTGATGACGATTATAGTTGAATAAAAAAATCCTTCAGTTTTATATGATTATGATACAAAACGTTCACTTACTCTTCATTCTATGTCACTCTAACGGGACATAAATCTGAATCATTTGTTCATATTAATTTAAGAATATTTGAATGAGATCGATGATCATAATATAATGTTGTTGCAACGGATTTTAATGAATTTTCAAGTGGATGTTATTGTAACTACAAAATGTTAGAGAAAAGAAAGTCACGCACCTGTATGTACCATTGAAAATCCTCAACTCATATGACAATTGATAAAAAAATATCTTTTGTTTTGTTTCTCTATTTTTCATTAACAAGCTCAAACATAATATCTAAATAGTTTACGTTTGTTAAATAGATTTTTAATGTTATAGACTGTTAGAAATTTCGTTTTATTTGGCTAAGTTCTTCAACAACATACATGCCAATCGAATAATTCGAATCCAAAGAGCATCTTGTCAATGCACATCTGATTACAACCGTTGAAAAGTAGATACTTTTAATTTACTACTAATACAAAACTCCAATGAATTCACTACGCATTGCATTTCATTTTATGTCAACTATAATTTATACACACACTTCCAAATCTTTTCAATCAACACCTGGCATACAATTCGGTCACCATCTTTTCTTACCAGATAAAGATTTTATTTCTGTAACTCTTAATAAAACTCTACTTTAAATAAATTACATTGCGATTTACTTTTGATAAACGTATTTAAAAAGATTACATTTTCTTGTTCGATAGGTAAAGAAATATGGGTCCTTTTTGAATCGTAAATATGTTGAAGTAGATTTTTCATTGTAGTCGGTCAATTAAGATATAATTTTAAGATGCAATGATCATAAATAAAAAATGATCACATACATTTTTTCTTCGTTTTTTTTAATTAACTGTTTACATTTAAAAGATCTATCAGGTAGTTAAACAACGTTGGATAAATAACGAGAATAAAGTAGAGAGTGGAGAGAAAATATTTTCGTAGAATGATTACTTTTGCTAAACAGTTCACAAATTTAATGCCTGAAATTAACATTTAATTTTGATGATATTTTTCATTCTTCGAGACTGTGTTACATTCTTAGTCTTCAAAATGATTCTACTAACTTACACTTCCATCTGATTGTCGTGGTCTCGCAGATTTTTTCTGTACAGTTGCGGCTTCAGTGGCTTCGCCACTACTGTTGGCGTGTGTGATGATCAAACCAGATTTCCAACGATACCGTTAGAATAAAAAAGAGAAAAACCGTTATAGACATAAACATTTTCTTTTTTAAGTACGTATACATCATCAATGTAGTCAAATAGACCATGATAATACGCTCTCCAAAAATGATTTTAAATATTTTAATAAAACTAAATCTAGAAAAAAAATTTTTTTTACAAATAAATTTATTCTTAGTGGTGGTTACAAATATATTCATTTTTTTGACTGATGGATAAACAATAAAAACAAATTCTGATTATGTGATTTCTATTGTAAAAAAATGAGATTATGAAAATAAAAATTGTATACATATTGAATTTTAGCGAAAAATCGAGAAGAGAAGTAATGAGTGAGTTTAGTTGTCTACCGTAAAAAAAATTTCTTTTAAACTGCTTTAGAAGAGTAGTGATGTTTTATAGTTAAAATTTTTATAACACTCCTTGATCTTGCTAACGGAAATCTTGAACATTTATTATATATTCGCTATCGTCTTTCAAGTACACAGAGTAGTTGAATCGGATTTTTATTCGTTGACGAGGTTATACTATAATTACACACATATAAAAAAAAAAATAGAAACGATACGAGTCTCACCTATGACCTTTATTAAAGAAAAGAAAAAAAAAAGTAATGTTCAATCGAGCATGACAGTCTATCTGGAAGGACGTGCGTACGAAACTACTCATGAAAAGACTTTGAAGGACTGACCAAAATAGTCATATTGTTTACCTTTCTTTTACTGTTCATGATAATAATGGACTAAGTAATCGCCCAACGTCAACATTATGTCAGAATCTAGTCACACTTTTAGTGAAAATTCTGAACACCAGCAATCAAAAGAACAGATTCAAAGAACATCGTCAGTCAATAATAAAACCTCTACAAATGAGAATTTTTTCAAGTAAGGAAACAGAAAAGTTATTTATTTTTTTTAATCATTGATACAACATCATTCGTCTATTAATAACTTTATTAATTACTTTTAACTTAAACCTTTATACGACCTTTTTTAGATCAAATTCTTCTGAATATGAATACGTGGGTCGACTTGTCACTCGTGAAAGACCAATTTTACGTTTACATGGTCATCAACAACAGCGAGAGCAAAAATTTCTAAATGAAACACCTGTTTCTAAATTATTATTAGAAAACAATTTATTAAGTAAAAGTTATCATGGTAATGAGATACATCCAACACGTGCGATAAACGGTGTTCAGCATTTTCAACGTACTTTGAAAGAACCAAAATTAACTGCATATTCAAAATATCAATATCAAAATATGATGGAAGATGATGAAGATGTTGATAGCTATGATGATGAAGACGAAGCCAGTGAGGATCCACTAAGTAAACCAATTGGAGTAATACGTATTAATGATGCACATTATCGTGAAAGTAAGAGTCGTGCAACGAAAAATGAAAAAAAGAAATAAGAAAAATATTATATTAATCTATTTAGTTTATCGTCTTCCAACACCTCCTCCGAAGTTTAAACGTATTTTTCATCGATTAAAATCTCCTGAACCAAAATTAATCGAACGGGTATACTAAACAAGAAACGATTCTAATTATTTCAATGATATTTCTTGTCTTTGTTTATAGGTATTTGTTCAACGTCCACCACGAGAAATTATTGAAAATGTAATCGAAGTGCCACCGCAACGTGTTCGTGTTGTTAACAAAGAAAAATTTCTTGATCGATCATCACCGATTACTCGATCAAAGTAAGATATAAATGTCTGTTGCTTTTCAAATATATTTTGTTAATATTCTTAGACTTGTTCGATTACATTCAAAACAACATAATCGTCGACAACGGGATAACAACGAAGAATTAATGGCTTCCTTACAAACGACAAATGTTATTCCTCAAACACCAATGGTGACCACAACTTTTCCAGCAAATCAAACTCGTTCTCAAACACTTATTCAGCTACCAACAACTCCAGCCAATTTTACACAAGTACAACAACCACAAATGTTTGTTGGACAACAGCAAATAATGCCTGCTCATCCACAACCGACGTCTACTTTTATTCACACAACAATTCCACCTCATATTATGTTTAATTCTCAACAATCACAACCACATATTCCGTTTCAACAGCCAGTACAAACTTCTACTATGCATCAACAACAACCTCAAGTAATTACTCATTTTCAGCAACCGCACCAACATTCACCAATGATAAACGTAAATACACTTCCTCAGCAACATTTTCATGTTCCTCATCAACAACAAATGATGCAATTTCCTCAACAACCACAAATGCAGTTTCCTCAACAACAAATAATGCAATTTCCTCAACAACCACAAATGCAATTTCCTCAACAACAACTAATGCAATTTCCTCAACAACCACAAATGACATTTTCAAACATACAAAGGCCAAATAATATAATCATCTAATGATGATCATTCAAAAACAATTCAATCATTCAGTGAACAAAATGTTACTTCAACACACACGTCTTATAGATAACATTCAGTTTTATTCTTTTTAAATATATTTTACAATATATTGTCATATATCATCTGCATTATGCATTATGCATTATAAGTTTGAAAGCATCCATGTCTATATTTTTTATTGCATTTTATTATTTTTAGATTATCTCTAACTTTGCGTATATGAGAGAATAGGGAGAGGAATAGTTCCAGTTCTTATAGTACCTGATCACTAGTTTAGTTCTTGTTGAACGTGAACTGGTATCAGTTCTTTTCAAGAATTCAAAGTAAAATAAAACCGAGGTAGTCAGTTATATTGACTTGGTTTAGTCAATAAACGCACTATCTACTTCTGGCGTACTGCACAAAGTCAATGTAACTAGGTTCACCGGTTTTATTTTATTTTAATTTTTGAAACGAAGTAGTACCAGTTCCTGTTCTTTTGAAAAGAATTGGTAAGCAGTTCGCGTTCAACAAGAACTGAACTGGAACTGTGTCCACCCCTATGAGAAAATAAAAAATATTCTGTGTCACAGCAGTTAATTCCTGACTAAAAGCAAATATTTATTTTAAAAAAAATCTACATAAAACAATCACAAATAATATACAAAAATTTAAAATATTGACTTTGTTCGAACAACTAAAAATTATATTATCATTTTAACACAAAGCCCTTGTACGTGACCATTTAAAAAATGATTATAATGACCATGTACAGAAAAAGCAGAATCAAAAATTAAAAGAATATTGCAAAATGGACACATTTGAATTCTCATAACAGTAACTGTGACAATTCATTTTTTCAGTAGTAGTCGTCGTATCTTGACAGTATGTACAACATTTAACAAATATGCTAACATGTTTGTTTTTCTTATTCTTGTTTCGTGCTTGCAGTTGGAGTTCCTTTAATAACTGTAATAATAACTAATGACCATAAAATGATGCCAGCAATAATGGCGATGACCAAAGCGGGATATTCAGTGCAAAATTTAACAACGTCAACTGCATTCATCGTCTATCTACTCGAAAAAGAGAGAAAGATAAGCAACTTTTTCTTTTGTTCAAGCAAAACTAATATCAGTCATAAATCTAAAATAAAGATAAGTTTATGAATTTTTGATCCAACGACTACTGAGATCAATGTTTCTAATCTATATCCATCCATATCCATACTGATACATATACATACACTGTTTTTTGTCAACCTAATAGTGAACACATTAATCGTAGTATTTAATCATAGTTTGTTCGACAAATATTGAAGTATTTCAAGGAAGAAACATCATTTTTCAGCGTCATTTCTTAGGAAATACTTCAATATTTGTCGAAAAAACTATGATTAAATACTACGATTAATGTGTTCACTATTAGGTTGACAAAAAACAGTGTTTTATGTAGTATTGGAATTTATTCTAACCGAGCCTGCCTTTTTTTTTAAAAATAACAAGTAATTTTCCTCTATCAGTTAATAATTTTTTTGTTGACTTCATGCATTCTGTCTGTTTGTTTACATGTACAACAAAATGAGTATAGCGTGTATTACACACTGACACACACACACACACATGCTCTGAAATACAACAATCCATGAGGCATGCGCTTGTTAGTGTTGACACAGTTGAACAAGATTTCAACAAAATAAATCGAGTTATAAAGGATTTACCAAAATCTCTGACATCTGAATATTTAGATCAGTTCATGAGAACTTTAGTCAAAGGACCCTAAAATTTAACTGCCAATACAAAAATAAAATCGATTAATAACGGATAAAAATTAAACAAATAGCGTCGGATTCAAGTTTAAAAAAAATTAGCTCAGTTTATTTTTACGGTGTTCTTGTTGCACTATAGATAAAATTAAAATAAACGAGCTAAAAAGCTAGATTTAATCTACTACCAATAGCTTACCAATAGCTACTACTAATTTTGCTTATACACAGCCGAAAAAAATATTTAAAGTGGTTGCTCTTTCGATGCTGCAAACCGTCCTGTACTCTCCCGTGTCCAAAGAAAAAGCTGGATAAAACATTAAAAAGAATGCTTTTCACACTCAGTACGTAAAAAAAGATGTTTTATTTGGATTCAAAAAACAAAGAAACAAACAAAATGACTGCCTGGTCTAAAAAAATAAGTAAACGAGGGACAAAAAAGATCATTATAGTTCATGAAATCGTAGGAACACATTGAAACGGATCATTGATCTATACTAAGTTCATCTATACTTATTGTCAATGAAAATAGACTGTTGTATAATTGCGAGAATTTATTCTTCTCTACCCGCTTCGACGTCCTTGAGTCCATGTAATTCAATTAAATGATCTCGTTTTATTTCGGCATATTTTTTACCATATAATGGAATATATTTATTTGTCACTTTCCAATCTGTTAGCCAAATAAAAAAGAGAAACGCTGAACCACCAAATATCATTGAAGATGGTAAACTGTAAGAAATATAAACAATTAAAATTTCGAAGAGAACGCATAACATTAGAAACTTACAGATTCTTTCCAATTTGCACATATCGCGGTCCAGCGTATCTGCCAATAACCGGCATTTTTGACATATAATATTGGAGTGACATTTCTTGTTTTTTCAAGGAGTTTAATCTAGAAAACTAACACAATCGTTGCTAAAGAGAATAGTTTCAAAATCTAAAACTTAATTTAATTAATTCAAACGTCTTATGAAATATACGTAAAAAAGTGACGATAGACTGATCGCGATGAAATGTCCGATTGTTAAAACGACTAACTCTACTAAAAGACAACGAGTAGTCGGTGAAGAACAATTCATTTGATTTTGCATACTATACGTTTATACTGAGAAAACAAAATACATTTTCTTTGTAAAAGTTTTCTTTTAGTATGCCTGTTTTTCCAGTAATCACTCGAACAAAAAGTGATGTCTTTTCAATTATCATATAATAAAAAATCCATAGGAGGGATTGATGACACTACACGTTGTAGAAAATTTAGCTATACTTTTGAGCAGATGAACTCTTTTTCACTGAAACCTTACAGAAACTAGCTAAAGATGACGGTTTATTTAAAAAAAGAAAGCAAATGCTGTTGATTTTAGTGATGAATGCTAGTGAACACAAGCTTATTTTCTAAGTACATTAAGCTCGTGCGTTTATAAGATTAACCGTGAGATGCAATACAACATGAATTTTTATATTAGGATGCTAAAAAGAAACAAAACGACTTTAAAAAAAAGAAATATTATCTGAAGACCATAACTAAATATAAATCAAAGTAGAAAAGTGTGCGACACATGAAGTCTGATTGGTTGGGCGTTCATTACAATCTAGCGATCCACATTAAACGCATTAGCGCAACAATCAACATCGGCTATGCCGTTAAAAGATCATACTAGAAAACTTTTCAATTTGCCACAGTTATGTTTCGACAAAAGCTATATTCTGTTTATAAGAATTGTTTATATTTTGCAATTTACCAGAGAGATCAGCTGCTGGTTTTTGATTGTTCGAGATTACAGCAATCAGTTAAAAACTAAAAATTCTCAACTCTGCACTGTAAATTTGAAAAAAGAAAAGCCGGTGATTTTTTCACCCACTTTTCTCTGAATTGCAAATAAAAGTTCGTTCCCTTATTGATGTGAGTAAGATCCGTGAAATATGTAATCATGGGCTTTTCAACCTGGACGCTGTCAGTCAGCTCCGTGATTTTTCACACACTATACTGCATATTTTTACGGAGCTGACTGACAGCGTCCAGGTTGAAAAGCCCAGGATTACATATTTCACGGATCTTACTCAATAAGGGAACGAACTATTATATGTAATTCAGAGAAAAGTAGATGAAAACATCACGGACTTTTCTTTTTTCAAATTCACAGTGTGTATATTTAATGTAAGATTGCTTTCCGCTAGCCGTCAGGAGCCGTTTTCAACGTGAAAAGACATAGAAGGTGACTCTCGACTGCTAACAGGAAACAACCTTATATAATAACGGGTGTCCCATAAAGAATGGAACTTTTTTGTTTTCGCTATAACTCCGTCAGTTTTGATGCTGTCGGCCAAATTTTATTTTAAGAGATTCGCCATTCAATTCTCTACAAGAATATGTCAAAACTTTTGTTGTAAAACATAAAGAAGAAAAATTATATAAAGAATACTGAGAAGCTGGAACATGTCCAACTTTCTTAGACAAAAAAATAGTCTTTTTGGTTCCATTCGTAGGATTTTTGAACGTATAAAAGAAACAAGTAGCCACTTTGTAGCGCTTGAAAAATTCTGTCGTTCAACTATGTTAGAAAAAGTTTTGCATCAATACCTGTTGCGCAGGTGAATTATTTCTTTTTTCAGATTTTGCAAAAATCACGTTTTTGAATTAGCGATTTTGGGATTCTCAGAAAATTTACATGAGTCGATCAAGAATTAATCTTTCCAGCTTGGCTTGTCTTTTAATTTTAAGTGAAATGAATGGCGCATTAGACTAAAACTTTAGAGTTTGAATATAGTCCTTCATTCGGATCTAATGCGTAAAATAAGAAAAGTTTTATGTCATTTCGGCTCAGTTTTAATAAAGTAGTGTTTGCCTCATAACACTAGGTTGAAACGGACTTCATTGTAGATCAAGCGAAAGAGCGCACTTTGTTGTACTCGCAAAACTTACTCGGTCGTGTTATCATATTTGCGAAAGAGATAGAAAAAAGGCAAAACTGTTCAGGAAAATCAAGAAAAACCACTTTAGAAAGTTGAACATGTTGAATCTTCTCAGTATTTTTTATATAATTTTTCTTCTTTATGTTTTACAACAAAAGTTTTGACATATTCTTGTAGAGAATTGAATGGCGAATCTTTTAAAAAAGAATTTGGTCTGATCGAATAAAAACTGACGGAGTTATAGTGAAAACAAAAAAGTCCCATTCTTTATGGGACGCCCGTTATATACAATAACCGCTCAGACTTCAAATTTCGAAATGTTCAAATTTACTGTCGAACTAATATTGTTGTTCCAAGCTAAAAAACCAAGTTATACAAATGCTTTTTTATGTAGGCCGCTGGTTTTTAGTCAGTTGTAAAAGAGACAGTGACGTGATGTACAATAGGTTTTTTTTCATAAAATTAATAATAAATCACTAGGAATAACCTGGATGCTTGCTATGATCTAGAAAGAAGATTGACCAATATCTCGTTTTTGTTTCAGTTCGCTGTTGGAACATTAATGCGCGATTATCTAGGTAGGAAAGTTTATTTGTTTATTAATAACGATCTTTCTAATTTGAATTTGTTTTCCGTTTTAGCTTTGCAAATTTGTTTTGATTTGTTTTTTTGCAGTTTTTCTTGTTCTCCTGTTATACATAATTCTTTGCTTTATTTTTGTTTATTTTTAAATCAGAAAAAAGCTTCATTTTATAATTTTTGTTTTTGATATTTATATGTAAAAAGTCTAACAATATGTGAAAAATGAGTTATAAATTTAAAAAGTATATTTATTTTGCTTTCATTTACGGTATACAAGTTTTAGAATAATTAAAAGTACAAGGAGAATGTTTAATGTCCATTCTTTGACGAAGACGATTTGTTCTTGAAAATAATCCATGATATTTAACTGTTATATTTATCATTGACAGAAAAACGTAGCTTATACTTTCAACATGTTAAATTCAACTTGATAAACTTCACAAGCCACTATCTGGACAACTTTTACCTATGATGAGCTCGTATGAGATAATTAACGCGTGCTCCAGAATAAACGAACCTCTCAGTATTTTGCTTATGACTTGGTTTGGATTTGTTTTTAAGACTCGATGTTTTTTTAAAAGATGCGCTGCG